AAACGTCAATACCCATTTATCCTGTTGAAAGTAGAACAAACACACACTGTGTTCATGTTTTCTAAAAAAAAAAAAGTACTGCTTCTTAAACCCTTTAAAAAATATATAATTCTTTGCTATTGCTACAAAGATAAGCAATTGTTTTTATTATTTTATTACTTTTATTCAATACTTTATGAAAGTCATGTATGGAGCTGGCTCAACCCTAACCTGTTTGGGGAAACCAGGGTTTGTAGAACTGGATTTGGGCCTGAGGTTTACTCAAACGTTATCAAACTGCGACTCAGACTTCTCTAAAGAGACACTTGTCCTGAAGTCATTTCATCTCTGTAGTTCTATTTTTCTTCCAGTCACTTTTGTGTAAAAATGTGAATTGTTGCCCTTAAGAAGGTGAGCCCAATATAGATGTTTGCTTAATGTAGAGCTGGGCGGTATGACAAAGTTTTATATTACGGCATTTTTTACTATTTTTCTGGTTTCAGTAATTGAGGGTATTTTTCTTAATATGCATACCTGTGTGTGTTAACCACATTTTCTACTGACTGAGAGGGAAATTACTGCTGTAAGTTGGCTAGGAATTGCTTAATACATTGTCACGTCCACACAATTATTATTAATTTTAATATCAAAAATACTATTTCCTTCATGTGCGTTCAGCAGTGCAGCAAGGAAAAAAGTCCCCCGTGAAACAGTTTATTGTCAGACGACACACTCCAAATTCATTCAATCTTTATTTATACAGGTTAGTCTCATTGAGCCACAAGAACTCATTTATAAGAGTGGCCTGTAAATGTTGTTCAGGCTACATAAACTGGCATGTAGGTTTACTGAAAATTCATATAATATCAAAAATAAATAACGGTTTGTGGGTACAAACCGGTATACCGTCCAGTTCTAGCTGAAATAATATTTTGTATTTTTTTACGTACGTACTTTCACAACTGGATGCTGGCATCACCGTTGTTCATTTTGCCAGGAGGTTTTTCTTAATCAGACTAGAGAATGTGTTTATGTTAGTCATTTATATACTATCTGAATAAATCCAACCTATCCGTTTCTTTATAAGATTATCTTTCATTTGGGCCTAGGTCAAAGTTATTCCAGAGGTGGGACCATGTCATTGTTTTGCAAGTATCAAGTAAGTCTCAAGTCTTTATCCTCAAGTCCCAAGTCAAGTCTCAAGTAAAGACAAGGCAAGTGTCAAGTCAAGTTCCAAGTCTGAAACTTGAAATTTCAAGTCATTTTGAGTCTTTTTTTTTTGTATGTTACATGTAAATAATAGACGGTGCGTTCTTTTTAAAATCTGTATTTAACTCAAATTGTGATGAAACTTGTGCCACTGAACTTACAAAGTGTTTTAAAAAAAGTCATTCTAAAATTGCACCTTTACATTGAACAGTTCAATTAAACTTAGCTGCAAGAATAGTCTTTCTTTAAACTATAACGTTCCAAAATAAACATTGAATGAAAAATGCAAAAGCAGAACTCATCCATCCAGTTGGAAGACTTCATCAAACCAGCTGCTTGTGTTAAAATACACTGTAAATTGCCACTACAGTTATGAATATTGCTTCAAAAAATCTAATGACCATGGATCATGTTAAGTCAGAACTTGCACAGAATGTCAACTTTATCATTTTCTTTGTATGTTTGATTTCATAAACATCCAAAGGGCAAACAAATTCTAATTGTTGTCTTATTATGATTTTACATGGGATAAGACACAATCATGCAAACAAGATTTTGTGATTATCTTCATCCTAAAGAGCAGAACTTGTAACCTGGATAACTTATTCTGACAACTTGTTGTTAATCAAAATACAAAAACTGCATGCTCCTCTTAAAATGGTAATTAAAATTAAGCTTCTGGCTACTGTCAACTACTGTAACTACCAACTACTAACTACACCATGGAACAAATGGGAAGTTATGTCAGCATAAGTCCAATGATTTGTAATATGTAAATATGAATAAAAATGTTTATTTCCTCTAGACATCCATACTTGTTACTTTACATTAATTGGAATAGTTAATAGCAAATGTGGCAACTGGGGAATCAAGGAAAAAAAAAAGAAAAAGTAAAACTGGTCAGACCTTTTTATGTAATTCTTATTAGAAACATGGTTGTATTTGAAAATTTAAATGTTGAATCAAACGGATTCATTCAGCTGAGTAAAAGTCATAAAACAATATGATACATGCTTATTACCTGCATGGAGTAAAACTATGGGGGGGGGGGGGGGGGGGG